TTTCTCTTGGAGCTTGGCTTCGTGTCTGAGTCCTGCCTGCTCAGGACCTCGGACAGCGACTGGCGGGAACTCTGCCGGGCGGTTTGGCTCGAGACGTTGAAGCGCGAGCTCCTCTTCTTGGGCCGGTCCGACTCCGGAGCGGACCGACTCCTCTCCGAGTCGTGGTTCTCAGGCTCAGAACCGACTTTCACAAGAGCATTCCTCGTCCTGGTGAAAGCGGAAGTCACCGAACCCATCGCACTCCAACTACAAAGAGGTTAAACGCCTCTGCTACGCCCTGTGAGTTGCATTTTTTTTTTTCCTCTTCTAAAAAAAAAAAAAAAAACTGTCGTTGCGACAAAATAAAATGTCCGGGTTCGTCACTATTCAAGCGTTCATCTTTTCACGAGTTCAGAGACACAAAAAAGTCCTGAAGCGACTGAAAGCCTCGGAGTTTCAGCAGAAGCTGTGTGCCTCTCTGTCCCTCCTCCTGTTTGTGTTTCCGCTGGCCGACACGTCACACGCAGAAAGTTGCTCTGTCGACAAACACGGCAACCTCCCGGGAGCAACAGGTGAAAACAAGCGACATTAATTAGCACCTAACTTTCCAGGATTATTAAAATGAGCAGAACAGCCCTAGGTGTTACCAGAGGTTAAATAAAATCACAAAAAAATATATGTTTTCTATGTCGAGATTGACGTTATAGGTTTTATCGTGATATTTAGAAGTGATGAAATTCTTTAAAATATATATATTTTTAACTTCCGGTTTATTTGCTACGGAGTCCCGGAGGGAGGGAGAGGGAGCTACTTGGGAGCTTGGGCCCCGTCTAAATACAGAATGGGTGCTGCAGTATCATCATTCACCGATAGATGGCAGTAAAACAGAGTTTTTCCTTAAATCACATTCATCACCCGATAGACCAGGGGTCTGCAAACTGCGGCTCTGGAGCCACATGCGGTTCTTTGGTCCCGCTGCAGCGGCTCTTTAAAGCTTAGACCAAACGTAACATAAAACTGAGTTTTATTAGTTGTTATCACAACAATAAAAATGGCTAGTTTTAGCAGTTTTCATGTAATTTACCTTGCAAATATGTGAATGCTAGAAACAATACAAGGAGTAAAACATACTCACTTTCACTTTACGTTTTATTTCTTCAAAGTAGGATGCTTAATTATTTTTTTTTTGTACAATTAAAAAAACATATAGGCCTGCATAGTTTATTGTTTTCATTTTTAGAAATTTGGTAAATTCTCTGATTTTTCCTTCTTTACAGGACTCTAGTCTTTCATTTTGTCTTTAAAATGTAAAAATATCAATAAATGTTAAAAATCATTAGATTTTTTTCGTTTTATAAAATAACGCTACTGGCCAGAAAAGCGCCCTCCAACAAACTTAAAATGGTCCGCGAGCCACCAGTTGAGAATCACAGTTGTAGCAGGTATTGTGGCTCTGGACACGTTTAATTTAGTGAACAAAAGGGTAGAAATGGCTCTTTTGATCTTAAAGGTTGCAGACCCCTGCGATAGACCATCGTGGTACCACTTTACAATAAGACTCTCTTTACAGATGGGTAATAAATCGTTTATAGATGCGTTACTAATTTCACTTTACAGACTTTATAAATAGTTAATACTTGTATATTATACATTAGTTAAAGGTGACAGAGACAAAACTAACCAGTTTCTTGACAAATATTAAGCCAAATCTGTTCCCTATAGAGTTGTTATATTAAACATTTCAGACTAAGTTACTACCTCGTAAGCACAATAAGCATTTGCAAACCTATTTTTTTAGGATATACTATTAGTTGTAAATACTTATAATGCAGTGACAAAGTATATTATATGCTAAACAAATTTACAAATGAAAAGATGATAGATGAAATATATAGGTGAACAGATTTGGTTCACTATTTGGCAAGAAACTGGTCAGTTTTGTCTCTCTGTCACCCTTAATTAATGTATAATAAGCAGTTATTAATGATTTATTAAGTTTTTAAAGAGGAATTGATAACAAATCTATAAACTATGTATTAGCCATCTATAAGGGCAGCCTTATTGTAAAGTGGTACCCATGTTGTTTTTAATATTTGGGTTAGTTAGTTAGTTAGTTAGTTAGTTAGTTAGTTAGTTAGTTAGTTAGTTAGTTAGTTAGTTAGTTAGTTAGTTAGTTAGTTAGTTAGTTGCCTGTTCATGTGTGTGTTAACAGATCTCATGAACTGCTGAGAAGACTTTATTCAAACATGTAGAAAGTAATCATTGGATGTGCATCCACACAAAAAATAACTTTTGTAATCAATCTGAAATAAGATGGCCGCCACAGCCAACCATTTCTGTCAGTTTTACTGATATAACGTTCGGTACGGTTGTAGACAGATTTTCAACACGTATTTCGGTCACAAACAGATTTTGTTAGACCTGTGTGAGATATTTTACAAATAATTATTTGAGTCACATTTGTCTGTCTGTTTGTAAAATAGCTTGTGACCCAGTGAACTGATTTTAATTAAACTTTCAGGAGACAATTATTCGATGTACATCTATAACAAATTTAACTTTGGAGCCAGTCTTATTCAAGATGGTCACCACAGCAAACTGAACTTAGAAAACACAAACATGTCTATTGTTCAGTCAATTTAACAGATTTTGTGCTAATATGCGGTGTGGTTGTAGCTGAAAGCCAATCATAACACTTAATTCAAGTATTACCCATTGTGCACGTTTTTGTCTAAAATTTTAACATTAACTCTTGGAGCTAACATTTTTGTCTGTTAGCAAAATATTCAATGAGCCACTAAATTTATTGGAACAATAATAATAATAATAATAAATACTGGATATACATCTTCAACTGATGCACTCGTGGAGTCAGTCCAGTTCAGGATATTCTCCACAGCCAGTTGACATTAACCTTCACAACAAAAGGGACACAGAAAGTTTTACACATATTGGACTAAACAATTGTCTGGTATCCGAGTGTCATGCTCAGCCCCCACTTTATTTTAATATTATATGAGATTGTGTAAGGTTTTTTTTTTTTTTTCAGTTTGACCAAAACAACTACAACTTTGACATTTCTCAACATCTTAGTCTAAAACTCTGTCATGAAAGGCAGCAAGAGATACTTTCCTTCAAAGGACAAGAAACAGCCATAGGTCAAAGTTCTAAAATAAATTTAAAATAATGAGACATTATTTTCATCTGATTCAACACTGATTCAAGTTATAAGATGTAGTTTTTTTATTTATTTTTATTAACTTGTTACCGTACTTTCCAGCATGTAAGTCGCAGTCTTTTGCATAGATTTGTCAGTCCTTATTCTTATTTGTCAGTACTTATACGCTGAAGCGACTTATATACATTTTTTTTTCCATATTCCATGAATGGATGGCTGGTGCTGCGTCGCCCAGGCAAAATGAAGCTGACTGGTCAGTGGTGACGCATAATAAATGTGACTTATACACCAAAGTGACTTATATATGTTTTTTTTCCTCTTCATTATGCTGTTTTTGACTGATGTGACTTATACGTCGGAAATACTGTACGTTTTTGTGATTCACGAATGTTATTACACTAAACTGAGATCTCGAATTGAGTTGGGGGAGTGACGGCACCAAGTTTAAAGTGAACCATCAGAAGGTTGCTCCCCCTGCTGACAACATCAAAATGTGGGTGGAAAATATGAAGCACACACATATGCCTCCCCCCCCCCCCCCCCATTTGCCCCATCTTGGGCCCTTGAGCAAGGTCCTTAGCCCCCCCAATCTGCTAATAGGTCAGTCACTGCTGTGTTGGTCTGTGGTTGAATCAGGAAGGACGGTCCATCATAAAAACAGTTGCCAAATCCTCGTGCAAGTTCAATCGCTGTGGCAACCCTTGAAGAAGGGAGCAGCCAAAAGAGAAACAAAAAAGAAAATACATGTAGAATCGAGACACTAATTGCACTAGTTTTATAAAGTCTAAAGACTGATTGACAGTATGAGTTTAATTTAGAAATTAATTGATACTCTATTAATTGATATTATATATCTCAGATTCCGATTCAAATTCAGACTCAGATATTTATTGTCATTCGCACCACATGTGGTGCATGTGGTGGAGCGAAATTATGTACGCAGAGTCCCAGTTACATCCAACAATAGAATGTAGAAGAAAAACAGTAATAAGATCTAAGATATGAACTAAGGCTATGAACTGAGAAAAACATCAGCTAAATATACACTAAGCACTGATAGCATAAAAACAATATTGTTTTTATGCTATCAGTGCTTAGTGTATATTTAGCGGATGTTTTTCTATTATTGATATTAATTTTCACCATCAGAGTTGACTTTGATTTATATGACATTGCATTTTCATTTTGATTATCTGAGCTATAGTTTGCTCTATTTACTACACATTTGACTGACAGTCTTACCTCTGAGGTGACGTGTTTCAGACGTTTGGATAATTTCACCTAACTTTCACCTAACAGCAGACCGAGTATGATGAACTGTCAGTTCTTCATTTGGAAACCACACTTGATGGGATCATCTGAAGCTTCATTACTGGCTTTACTTAAATCTTAACTTACTGAATCTTTGAATCATTTGTTTTTCTTCTGATGTGCTGCTTCTCACTCGCACCTTTCAGTGTCGCACATTTCTTTCGTACCCGTGAGTGGAATACACCATCTGCTGTTCTCCGGTGGCTTCTTACTTTGAACAGGATGATATCTGAGTGAGTCTGAGCTCCGTGTCTAAAACTCATATAAGTTATTTTAATAGATTCAGTTTATTAGAGACTGAAATATTCACCTGCAAACCAAAAAAAATGCAGTGAAAATGCTCTTTCTAAAGGCTAATTACTGCTTTTTTATATATTTGACACATTTGTAACAAAAAAAAGCTAATCAAGCTAGAAAAACTGAAGAAATTCTGATGGTAGCTGTCACATGATGCCTTTACTTGTGGTGGCCATCTTGAATTTGAATGGTTTTACTATAAAATATGGAAAAAAATCTTAGACTTGTGCCCATATTTGAGTTAGTCTTGGTTTATGGTTTATTGCTGCATACAGGCAGCCATGACAGATTTGGCATACAAATTTCTGCTGTGCATGCTTTATCAATCAAACATACTACTTTGGTTACAAAGAAAAGTTTTTGTGTTCCTCACGGGGTTGCTATAGTGTGCTGTTTTCAAACTGGGTCTACAAGAGTGACAAAATACTTCTTGTGAAAAATAAAAGCAAAACAGGCTATCAACTAACATGCTTAGATCATCGCATATAAAGGCACTTTTTGAAGCAGTTTGCTTTTTGTGTGTTGCCGGGTCATTTTCTCCCTCGTCCCCCCTGGTGAAATATGTTTCTTATTATTGCTTGTGTCTGTTTGGCAAAATCAAAACCGTTGTTACTCCATCTCATCGTGGTTCTGGGTTGACTCGTTGATCACCTGGTGAAAAAAACAAACAGGTTATGACATGATCGTTGGTGTCTCAGAGGTCAAGCATCTGAATTTTGGGGCGGGCTCTACCTGACCATCCCTCGTCTCAATGGTCTTGATGACAACTTTCTTTGTTGTCATGGTTTCAACTTGAGGTTTAGAATCAACTATTGCCTCTAAGGATAGAAACAGTGTTGTGTGTTATTAGCTATAAAGAATTTAAGCTAGTATCCTTGCTGTGAAGCTAGAGTGCAAAGAGCAATCTTACCTCTCAGGTTTAGAGAGGAGAAGTTAGGCACTGGGGTGGAGATTCTGAAAATGCACAAAGCAAAAACTAAGTAAATGAAGCCTAACATTTGTTGTGAACATAAGTTTTCAATTATTACCGGCTCTCCTCTCCTTCCAGCAGCTTCCTGTAGGTGGCAATCTCGATGTCCAAAGCCATCTTGACATTTAGAAGGTCCTGGTACTCTCGCAGGTGACGGGCCATCTCATCCTTCATGTTATGGATGTCCTCCTCCAGGCGGATGATGGTGTCCTGGTAGCCACTGGTCTCCAGGGAGAAGTTATCTTCCACCTCCCTCATCTGACGCTCCAATGACTCGTTCTGTCATGGCAGCAAAGAGGGAGAAATGAAACTTGGTGAACGAAAGAGAATGCATGAACATGCCAACTTTGCTGCATGTTTAAAAATATTCAATTTACGCTCTAAGGTTTTTGTAGTGAGTTTAACTGCACCCAGATGAAGCCAAAAACTGCACACTCACAGTTCCTTTGAGAGCATCCACCTCACAAGTAAGAGTCTGGACTTGGCGCCTGTAGTCATTGGACTCCTGCTTGGCTAGTCTCAAAGCTTCATTATTCCGGGCTGCAGCTTCGGTGAGGTCAGCAAACTGGAAATCACAGATAAAAGTGGCTTAGAGCTGTTCTACTATTAATGAGTCACAAATTTAAAGGGGGTGAATACTTTGGGAAGGATGAAGTGGGTAAACTATGCACCAAGTGGCCATAACAGAGACTTCCTGGCATGATGCTGCAGATTGATTGCTGAGTTGTTACAAAACTTTGACTTGTTAAAGCACAGCAAAGAGCTGAGATTAAAACGCTCGGGTAAACTGCAGATTCAAGTGAATTTTCATCCTTGCACAGCTGAGGTCAGGCCCCCTTTAAAGGAAAATGATCATTCAGTACACTGTTTGCTTAAACCTACTGTTAGCCTCTTAAAATCTAATCCCAAATGTCTGACTCTGAAGATTATTTTCAGTCTGAAGTCCATTTTACTACATGTTTTGTATTTTCTATTGAATTTTACCTTAGATTTGTACCAGTCCTCCGACTCCTGGATGTTTTTGGAGGCCAGGTTCTCATACTGCAGGCGTACGTCCCTCAAAGCCGCAGTCAGGTCAGGTTTAGCCATCTCCATGTCGACCTGCACATGCTGCTGCTGCTGTTGGGCTTGGCTCTGCAGCTCCAGCATCTCCTGCAACAGAAACAATGAGCCCAATCACACAGATTGTTGTAATGTCTCCAAGTATACTTGGAAAAGCTCAAAATCCAACAAATTTGCCCTGAGTAAAAAATATTTTAAATGATTTGGCTTTTACAAACCGCTGCACACATGCAATGTTTTTGCAGTGGAGTGATTCAGCTTTGTCCACACACACACACAAAAAAAAAGCTTACCTCATCATGCAGCTTCTTGAGGAAGTTAATTTCCTCCCGGAGCGACTCAATCTTTCGCTCCAGATCCAGTCTTGCCAGTGCAGCATTGTCCACATCCTGTTCCATGACACAGACTCATAATAAGGTGACTTGTAAAGGTGGCATGAATTACTTATGATATATTTGCTGACAAAAGGGGAAACAGCACTTTCACATGCTGTAAAGAGCACTCATGATGTCAACATATACAAGTGTCCCATTGTGAGGCAGGACAAGGTCACAACACATGCATTAAATACAAACAACAGTAGGCACATGATGCATGTCTCTGCATAAACGGATAGCAAACCATTAGTTGTTATGTGATTTTAATGTACAGTGACTGCAATAAAGAAATACAAAGGTTTAATAATGACTTCTCTCATTATTTAACACCTAAAGTTACTAAATTCATGTTTTATTGCAGTTCCTGTTCGATTTGACATTTAAAACCATCACAATATCATAAAAGATGGTTCATTTATATCAGTCTACTCCACATTATGCAAAATATTGGTTCAAAATTGGCTACACGCTGACAAAACACCAGATTAGTTAACTACATTCAGTCACTAGTAAACTATTTGAATGTTTTACTGAGGTATGTAATCCTGTTTTTGTACTAAGCTAACTGTTAAACCTTAAATCCCCCTCTTCAGTTGCTCTGGCTAAAACTGAATTCCTCTACAGAAGCTCTAGTTTAATAAACATGAAGCACAATCTGTTGAAAAGACAAAATATATAATGAATGGTATAAAAAGTATTTTTTTTATCCCTGCAGGTTGTTTAAATGCACCACCACATAGTTTTGTTAGGGCGTTGGCAAATCAATTCCTGAAGTATCAGCAAACAAAGTTGCTTTGCCTCCGTGCTAATGCCACAAACAAAGTGAACTATTCAGCAGGGGTTTTCAGACCTGGAGCCTGGACGAGTGACCGTCTGCCTGACTGAGCAGAACCCGCTGCGGGCCATGCATTGTTGTCTGTGTGCCATCGAGGCAGGCCACGCTGATCCTCCCTGCAGTTCATACGGACATCATGAAACCTAAAGTTTGCACGTTAACGTGAAATCATTTGTTTTGATTTATGTTCAAATAAAGTGTTGCTTTTCTTTTACTTTCCTGTAGCAACAGCCAGATGAAACTGCTGACTTTGGAATCATCTCTGAGCTGGAGACGCAGTGACAGGCAACATGACCTTATGTGCTGACGATCCTCCAGAATGAGTCAATCTGATCACATGACAGCTTGTCTCCTCGCTCCGATAACCACATTGGATCCAGACTGTCCAGCTCATTTACTGTAAAACTGTCAGATTTTATTTTTTTAAGTATCTCCTTACTGCAGGCCTGATTTAACCCAACAGTGAAAACTTGGCCTTTTGTACCAGGCCAGGGTCAATTTAAGCTATTTTAAATCATGTCTGCAATCTGCTGTTGTGTCATCAGAACAGTGCATACCTATCTATGGAGCTCATGAGCACTGACTAGATGGAGATTACCTAATAGAGAGAAAAGGACGGGACATTTGTGCATCACTGCATTCAAAAGTTCAGATGTTCATGGTGTTAGAAATCTGGGGGGGTTGGGGATTTAAATCTCAAATTAACCAGATGAAGACTAATGTAAGGTTAACAGTTTATGCTGTTACATTAAAAACAGCATTCCTTAAAGTGATGCACATCACCCGCCACCATTCACAACGAGTTTTTATTCAAAACGGCCTCCACAGAGACATTTTGTAAGAAGTGTTACTGCTCGGAGCATGTGTTGAGAACAACTCTCAGCTACAAGCACATACACTTCATTTTCTGTCCTTTTGAATAAGTTATAGCCATTTTTGTGTTGGCAAAGGGTCCAATAATAACTTTCTGACAGTTTCATTAAAATCCAGTCAATGCTTCATGGTTTGATTTGTGAACAAACAGAAGTGATGACTCTAAGAGTTAATGACAAAGTTTTAGGCAAAGATGTGACACACTATGCTCTGAGTATGTGTTGAGGATGACTCAGCAACTACCACTGCAAAGTTTAGTGATTTTTATTTATTTATTTATTTATTTTGCACTGGCTAATGTTGCTTAGCTGTGGCAGCCATCTAGGAATGAAGGGACTCCTAAAGTTAATCAGTTCATGCACTAATTACTTGTTGGGCGTTTCATTAAAATCCCTTCAATGGTTCATGAGATATTTTGCTAACAGTTCAGACAAGAAATATTTAAGCGGGTGTTTGAGGGGTCATACTGTACCTGTCTGAAGCTTTGCATGTTTGCCTCTGCCTCCTCTCGCTGGGAGATTTCATCCTGCAACCTGCAGAAAGAGAACAAGAAATCAGTTATTTTATGTTTAGCGGACTCTGCAGCTTCCATGTTCTGCTTTCTAAGACTTTATGTCACTCCTAGTTCGTGCACATGTAACTTTGGGCTGGAGGGGTCCAGTTTTTCTGCACAAAAGACTAAACGCAAGACACTCTCTGTGCGTGCACACCCCCCATACTTCTCTCGCAGTCTGTGGATGTCGTCTGCCAGGTTGTCCCGGTGAACCTCCACGCGGGCCTTCTCGTTGCTGAGCTGGTCCACCTGGCGCCGCAGCTCCCGCATCTCGTCCTCGTACAGATCCCCGACCCGGGACGTGCCTTTGCCCCGCAGCTGCTCCAGCTCCGCCAGCAGGATCTTGTTCTGCTGCTCCAAGAAGCGCACCTTCTCGATGTAGCTGGCGAAGCGGTCGTTGAGCGACTGCATCTGCGCCTTCTCGTTGGTGCGGTTCGTGATGAACTCGCTGTTGATGGCGTCAGACAGGGAGAAGTCCAGGTTCTCGGAGGCCAGCCGGGGCACGGCTGCGCTGCTGCTGCTCCGGAGTCTCTGCGTCTTCGATGCGTAAAGAGTCGGCGCGAAGGAGACCCGGGAGGAGCGCAGCGGCGCGCTGGAGTAGTTTCTGCTGGAGTAGCTGCTCCGCGCCACCACGGCTCGGTCCCCGCCGAACATCTTTCTATAGGAAGACTGCGGAGTTGATCTGTAGGACATCTTGTTGGGGGCTTTTCAAACTGTCCACCACCAGCGTGATGTGGCCTGAGTTTCCTCTAACTTCAGCAGCATCAGCGATGCGCGTCTGGGAAGGCGTTTCCTCAACCAGAACCTATTTATACCCCCCTTCCTCTGCAAGTAACTCAACTGGGACCAGACTGACAGATTCAGAATCCAATC